TGGTGGGTCACATATCCCATCTACACCATTCCCCTGCCTCTGCCCTGCAGAGTACTCCTAGGTGTGATACCAGCTCCTGGCCCTTCCACTACCTCAGCCACGCAGGTGGTGAGATGTATACAGTACAGATATTTTTAAAGTCTTTGCTAATAGCTCGTTTGGTTTAGAACAATACGTGCAAGATTTTTCCCATGTGGTACTTTGAAGTATGTTCAGAGAGTCTCTCTGGCCATAGCAGCTCCTCTCTGATACTCTTGCAGTGCTACAGAGGTCTTTTGAATGATCTCTTCAGTGTGTTCTTTTCTCTGAAAGACAGTATAGAGTAGAGTTCAGTAGATAAATTTTGTGTGTCTAAGGTGGTGTTAAACCATGAGAATGTCCCCTACAGCTATTGCTAGATCTTCTGTGCAATCTATTGCTACAGGAAGAAACAAGAGGATTTTGAAATTCCAGCATGAGAAGTGAAATCAAGAACATTTAAGGAAGTCTCTCTTGTTACATCTCCTTACTGGAAAAATGTAGAGAAAGAAGATAGAGAAGTATTGAAAGGCCTTTCAATAAAACGTTCCCCTTCCCTTTTCTTCTCCAGGCTGAACAACCCAGACAGTCTCAGCCTTTCTTCATAGGAAAGGTGTTCCATCCCTCTGATTATTTTTGTGGCCCTCCTCCAGATGAGCTCTATGAAATCCATGTCTTTGTTGCACTGAAGACTCCAGAGCTGGAGGTAGTACTCCATGTGGGGTCTCACCAGAGTGGAGTAGAGGAGGAGAATCACCTCCTTTGACCTGCTGGTCACACTTCTTTTGATGCAGCCCAGGATACAGTTGGCTTTCTGGTGCTGGCTCATGTTAAGTTTCCCATTAATCAACTCTCCCAAGTCCTTTTCTGCAGGGCTGCTCTCAGTGCTTTCAATTCCTTCATCCCCCAGCCAGAATTGATAGGGGATTGCTCCAGCCCAAGTGGAGGACCTTGCACTTGGCCTTGTTGAACTTCATGAAGTTCACTTGGGCCCACTTCTTGAGCTTGTCCAGGTTCCTCTCGATGCCATCCCATCCCTCCAATGTATAATCTGCACCACTCAGTTCAGTATAATCTGCAAATTTGCTGATGGTGCACTCAATCCCACTGCCTATGCCATGGATTAAGATACTGTATTTACAGACTTGGGAGGAGGGTGGAGAAACAAAACTTGTTGTAATTTATGTGCTTTTATGTGCTTATATTTTACAACTAAAATTATTTAACAAACTGATTTCTCATTCAGGAGGAATTATAATAATAGATTTTGAAGGCAAATAGCTGATGAAGCACATCAGTATGGTGTTGCTCTTCCAGCCTCCCTTACTATGAACTTCAATGGCTGATCAGAGTGTAAAAATTAAATAGAGATACACGATTTTCTGTCTCCTTTGGCTGTAGTATATCACTGTATGCATGTTCACATACAAGTTTCTGCAAAAGCTTTCAGGATTCCAGGTTTAATAATTAAAGCGTTTCACTGATTGACATTCATGTGTTAAGCTGTGACTTCAGTTTCATCTGATCTAAGTGTGGGTTGCCAGAAAAGGAATAGTTTTCTCTTCCCCTTTGGTCCCAACTGCAAAAGTCTCTTATTTCAGAAATGGTACTTTGTTCCAATCTGGTTGAAATCCAACCTGTGAAAGCAAAAAATCCATGTAAAAAGAAAAATTAGTTTTTAGCCTTATTGGTTGCAGGTTCATAATTCAGACCCAGGAACCCTAATACTGGCATGAGGAATGGGGAGAGGAAGCAGAGCTGGCAACAGGGGCTAGACGAGTAGGACCTCCCTTTTCCATGGCAACCTACATTTTCCTCACTGTAACCTGAACTGCAACCTCATGTTTCCTATGTATTTAAAAAAACCATTTACTGCCCTTTCCATTTTGGTAAAATACACAGCTATCTATTTCTTTGTACTGACATGCCAATTTAATAGTTCCTTGCAGGCCAGAGTTATACTGGTGCTCAGATCCCCAACTGGATATACTTAGAGCAATGTAAAATATCTTTATGCTGCTATAATATTAACAACCTCTGATTATTAAATTATTTCCCAGTGTTTTAATTATTCCCTTTCTTCCAAAACCAAAGGCAACAAAAGGATGAATCTAAAAATAGGTTTAATTACTGCAGTTTAGCTTGTGGGTAATCTGTAAAAGCAAACAAAACATTCTGTAAGTCAGCAGCAATGTGGATAATATAATGAAAACTTCACCCTGCATTTCTCTTACAAAGCTGCTTATTTTGTTGCTGTTCTGGAGTCTCTTGCCTACCTACTTACTGTTCTACAAGTTTATCTCTCTGTCTCTAATTTTTGATTGTTTGACAGCTTACGTTCAAAGGGGTAGGGTGGTTTATTGCTGCTGTGGGACAGAAGCATGAAAAGCAGATATTTTTAAGGTCTAAGACCTAATGGTGGATTTAAATAATGCAAGTCTAAACGAACTCTGAACTGCCGAAGGCCAGCTTTCTATGCCCTACTGAAACATGGATTTAATTAATCCAGCTGTGGTTTTCTTGTGTGGTCTGGCTTTGCTTCCTCACATGCCAGTAGGCCAAATCCAAAATATTTTAAACTACACATCCATGAAAGTGAAACTCTTCATTCTTCAGAGCTGCAAAAAACAACCATGTCATGAAAGTGTTCTTGAGGTTGGGTCAGACAGAGTGGTGGTTCCCTATCCTCTTCTATGCGTTCCTGTCTTTCATGTGTCTCAAATTTGCTCTTGCATTTGTCACTTGTTTTCATCCCTTTCAACTGAGTGGGATACTCACTGCCTTTCTCCTTCTTCCTTGTAATATATTTTTTAAAAAGTCTGGATAGCCTTCATCTTTCTCCTGTTGCCTCTGGATCTGTTTTTTTCTGGAGCCGAAGCTCCCCCTGCTGCTCTATTTTGTAGTGTCCAACCAACATGGTACAGTCAAAAGAAATTTGATAGGTTTCCAGTTCTCTTAGCAAATTCTTGGAGAATAAATTATTGTGGAAAATTTTATATATATATATAAAATTTGCAGTTTCAGCTGTTCCTGAACTTAACAGCAGCTTCAAGTAATTTAACCACAATAGAATTTAATAAATTTTCCAGAAGATTTTATGAAGAATCTAATCTACTAGCAGTAGCAAAACCTGAGAGACATTGGGAGGATCTGAAATTTTACTGTCAGCAAAACGTGAAATCAGTTCTTCCACATCTTTTTCTTCCCCAGAACTCCTATGCACCACACTGTTCCTACAGGCCTCTGGAGAACACATGCTGCAAACTCACTTAACCAGCTTGAGGTTTTTGCAGACCTTATATCCACCAGTACAGACTTGTATCTGCTTTCTTATTCTTAGAGTCCAGTGTCATACTTACATACTCATCATTACTTGCTTGTGACTTAGCCTAGTGATTATGTGAAATGAGGCCTGTCTACAGGTGTACCAGTTTCTCTGCAGTTTTGTCTCACTGGGACTTGAATTCATACAGGTTTTCTGGTACGAGCAGTCAGGGCATTTTTGCTGCTTCATGTTCACATTCAAATCAGCTTAAGGCTGGGAAAGGTCATTGCTGATGCTATAAAACCTGTTCCCTAAACCTCCTGGTTAGCATTTGGCTCCCTCTTAGGCAAAGTAGAAACCATAAATTACTTGATTATGGTAAACACTGCATGGACCTCTGTAGTCAGCATTTCTCCCTAACTTCCTCAATGCCATTTACCACCAGAGAGGTGACACTTGCTGTAAGCCTCGAACTTCCCCCCATGTCACCGTTTGGGAAACTAACCTATTACGAGTGAGAAAGCAAAGCTGCAAAACAGGCGGAATGTAAAACTGGCTCAAGTGTTGTGACACACAAAAGCTTGTACAATTCTGGGCCTTCCAGCTTGGCCTGCCCAGAGGCTGCACCGACCAGCGGCCCCCCC